TTTTAAACTTAAGTTTTTATGTAGTTGGCGTAACTACTATTACAAATATAATCAGGATACGATTAAAATTATATAAAAAAAGGATTTATCTTTGGCAGGACGTAATATTATAACAGTTAATAATGATTACAAACCGGAAATTGTTAAGTACAACAAAGTATTAACTAAACAATCTTCTATTAACTATATTTTATATTTATTTTCATATTCATTAAATTTGATAAGTATTTAGGTGAACATTATATTTACATCAGTATTACCTATATTTAAAATTTAATATTTCACTCTCAATATTATCACAATCATTTAGGATGTAAACAACTGATAAATTAGGGCTACATTACATAACATGAACATTTCTAAACTCAATATTAAATTATGACTGTAAAATATTAGGTATAATATCTAGACAATTATCACATCTTGTAGCAACACAATTTTTTTAACTCTATTTTGTATTAGTCATGGTTCATTCAAGAAATTAATAAACTGTATTTAATGATATAATATTATGTTGAATTATTGATAATGTAATCGCAATTCAACATTATTAATATTATTCCATTTAGAACGATAATAAACGAAAATTATTATTCTTTTAAGTACAAAGTAATTTTTAGTAACAAATTAGAGTTAATGTATTTAGTACTTGTTTTTGAATAAGTATGTTGAGTCAATGAGCTATCATTATTTGAACTTCGATAATGTAAAGTGAATTAAAGTATTGAAAATACATTTCATATTTAAATTAAAAACTGCATTTTGGTTTTAAAATTGGAGCCTGCTTATGAATTTTAACCTAGGTATGTAACAAATTAATGACATTTTCTTTATTATTTGGTATATTTTAATTTATTTATGAGCCGCAGTAAAATCCACTGATATAGTGATATATCATAAACATCTAAAAATATATTTATATATGTATAGTAATTGTTAGGTATAGTATGTATAATAGGTAGTTATGTAAATAAATAATAACGAATAAAATGTGATTTAATAGTTATAAATAGTATAATAAAGTGGTAAATGAATGTAGAATGTGAATGATGTTTACGATTTGTTTAAAACTTTAATGATTCTTTTTCATTTTATTGCCAGTGTAGACGTGTAGTTATAATAAAATATATCATACCAATATACTAAGTAGTAAACCATGACATTTTCGTTAATGAGCCCCGGGCGCTATCTAGTGTAGTAATCTATATAATATATTAATATACCATCTATACAAATTCGAATCGGATATAAACTGAGGTTAGAGATTATATTGTATTGAGTGCCTGTGTGTTGGATACCTACTAACCACACGTAGTTGTTTATAATAGCAATGCATTTCTAGTGTGTATATTTCATCATAATAAAATGGAATTGAATGTGTGGTATAGTATACGCCGTGCTGTGTGCACAATACTTGTCGTACATACAAGTCGTGGTCAAGGGTTATAGTGGCATCGTAGTAATAATTTTGGGTGGTCCAAGGGTGGGACAGGGGTGGTCGAGGGTCAAAAAACCTCTGTATTATTAAGTGAGACCCATATTGTAATTTAACAGAATAGAATTTTCAACGTCGCACTTCCTTCCCAATTCCCATTGAATTTCTTCAGAATAGGTACCTCTATATTAAAGAGACATGATTTTTCAAAAACTATTATACTTACCTATAGAATGGGACTGTAAAACTCGTAACTACGTACTAACGTCTAACTATTCAATGAACCGTGTGAGATTAAATCGTATTTTAAGCTGAACCGAAACTAAAATATTTTAAAGCCTTTATAAAACTGTAGTTTTGTTTCTTGAACAATAGTTCATGCCGTTCATTTTAATATTATACAAGAATGATGCACTGTATAAGAATTAAGAATTAATTAGCTAAAGTACATTCACGGAAGTATCGCATTGTTAACAAGGAGATTTCAATGTATTTCGTATACAATTAAAATATTTACTATAGATATCTTGATGGAAACTAAAAATAAAAAGTCAAATATTATAATTTTATGATTCTCAATCTTTAGATGTTGACAATACAATGACTCTTATCTCATTTGAAATCTATTTGGAAGGGGTAGAGGTTTTTTGGAAGCCCACATAAATGTTATTGTATAAAAACACATTGATTTAAAATGATCTTTTTAACAAGTATTTTAGACAAGTTTCTCTGTATAATATAGTCAATACTATTTAGTATATAAACATCAATAATTAAACATTATTACGTATTGGACAATATTAAAATGAATCGCATGTAATTGTAAATTTGTACATTTCACTTATTCGATTTACCAGTATGCAACTGGATCGATAGAATCTCAAGTTATTATGGCCAAACATTTTTTTTTCTATAGACCATAAGTTACATAGTATGTACTTTTTTTGGGGGTGTTAGTACATTACTAGTTAGTTATGAATACAACATAATATATGTTACAACAGCAATTTTTTAATTGTATTGGTCTTTGAATATACTGTGTGTGTTTGTGTTTTTTTGTCCGGTAGAATAATTCCCTAGTATTCCCTATTTAATACCCTAAGTTTTTGCAATGATTTTTTCAGGGATTCTGTGCTTGAAACTTACTTGTGAGTTTGTGACAAACTATATTTTAAAGTTAGATATAGTTTTAACATCCAAATAGGTTGAATTTATCATATTATAAATAAAATAAAAATGTATTTAAAAACATGTTATTAAATGTCAGTATTTATTTCCACGCGAATCTATATTCAAGTATTGCAATCACTTATTTTGATCAATATTAATTTTTAAACTACTTTTTATTTTTAATTAGGTTTATGTAACAGTTTTTATTTAAAGCTATTACTATTATAAATGATATTTGTTTTGAAATAATATTAAAATTTATGGTTTTTTTTTTTAATGATTGTAGTTTTCTGAGAAAATCATATTATTCAGTAGGATCCACTATAATCATTATAGTTCATGTTTCCGGTACCTGCTGATATGTTTTTATTTCTAATTAAAATCATACTTTGCATGGTGATATTGATGAAGTCTTATCTTATATTTATTGATATGGGTACATTTTCTAATAACAATCAATCATTAGATTGAAATGTATGAAAAAATGTTCAGCATAAATAAATAAAAAAGCATAATAATATATAAGTAAATAGTTATTGTGAGTCTCGGTGGCTGAAGTTATTTTCCATCCGAACGAGAATGCTATGTTCAAATTTAAAAGAACAGCAGTCTATACGTCATATAAATACCTATACCTATTATATCGACGAACCCTCTTTGTTATTTATTTAAAATTTGAGTTTATTCGACACCGCCATCCCCACTCACTTCTTAACAGATTCAATATTATGACATCTTAAGTTGGGCCTTCGAAGCACCTTAGGTTTTAAATAAAATTCACTATGGGTATTGAACATAATGTAGAGTATGTACACGGGATAGTCAGAAATTTGAGTTACAAAAACGGTAGAATTTAATAAGGTCGATTTAGAATTAAAATTTGAATATAATGTATAAAATAATATAGCTGCCAGCTAGTATAAGTATAACAACGTTAAAAGTAAAATATTTTTTGGGATCTAAACAAGAAATATGGCAGAGACACATTTTAAAAACAGCTTATAAGTAATATTATATACAAGGTGAGTTTTTATTCAAATTTAATTGTGTGTGTTACGCTCTTCTGAGTTGGTGTTTTAATAAATGTTTTTAACAACCAATGACAGGCAATATATCTTGTTGTATAGTACCTATATGTTATTAAGGGTCGAATTTGGCATCTGTCCCCCTCTGGTTCACAGTTACAAATCGACAGTAGAAGGTGTATACAATATAATAGGTATTATTTTTTTTTATAATAATCTCTCGAATGCGCACAGACATTGTGTACAAATGCCCACGAAACTACAAGCACACGTGTATTATTGTTTGTTAAAATACTGCGCAGTACTACGTTCACACTCTCTTGTACCTGTAAAACGCCGATAAGACCCAGCGATAAATGTCTTCGGTCCGATCCCCGTGCCTCACCCACCCGTGGACTACTCGCTTATCCCCACCAGAGTATCAGTGTATTACCGTCAACCGCCGAATTTCTTGGTGCGGTCCATGTCCCGCGCGCCCCATCGTGGAATGGCAGGGGTCCCCGCACTCACCCTCCACCGACATCCATACATACATACATACATACTTCGGCTGTCCGTCGGCTGCCACCGTCATACTTATACTGCATACACTCGGGTAGTATGACCGGCCTACGTTATATTATTATGTCACACACGGCCAGTATTTGAGTGTTCATCAGTCAGATCAGTCGATTCTCACGGAATTTCCAGAAAACCGAAATCGTTTAAATACTTTTTTCTTACTATTTACTCCAACTTTTAAATTATTAGTGTCTGCCCGTCTTTTTTTGCTGTATTAAGACAAGTTATGTCTCCGTGATTTTAACGTGCTATTAATTGATCTTTAACGTGGTTCCGATTGTTATCACCGCGCATAATAGTTACTTTCGACTCCCGTGTCACCGACGGACCAACTGCTACCTAAATCACCTAACTATTATCCATCTGTTTATCTACGCCCGTTACACAAATGTCACGGACAAAATCGACATCACAATGTTCGAAAATATTACGAAGCACGCCAAGTCCACGCAATTCTTTGATAACATCCACAACAACTTCAAGTTCTTCGGATTTGATTAAGTCTCGAAAGGCATCATCATCGCTTGTTTCGGTACGTGTGCAGTCTCAAATCATCGGCTGTTGAACTACTAAAATCGCATACAAACCTATCTTATATCCCAAAATAACTCTCAGCACCTGCTCTATCATATTTAAAAACACTGTTTTCATTTTACACACTAGGAAACAATACAATATTTCGCATCCCATTTTAAAAGTTGTAGATTCCCTCTTGTCCCAGTCTATATTTCTAATTAAATTGATTTACCAGCAGATGAAAGTAATTACAGAGTGGCCGTTTTTAATAAATTGGGCAATTTTTGTTTCAGCTTACACGAGTTAAACCAAACGACAGTGGCAGCAGCAGCAGTACACTATTGAGTAGCCCTAGTCGCAGTGAATGCAGTCCATCGTCGTCACACCCACCATCGCCGAACTCACCAAATCAGTTGTTGCCTACCATAAACAGCACTAACAGCAACCAAAGTTCCCAACGTCAATCCAGAAAAAGGATTAGGGTGATTCCTGTCCATCGAGTTAAACCTTACAAAAAAAGGCGAATATTCAATGACAAGAGATCAGTATCGCCCCTAATTGATGCGCATAGTAGAAGTAACTTAGACATTCACCAAAACCCCAACGACAATTCTAATAATAAAAAAAGCATTCAAAATCCGTCTTGTACGACTGAGGATAAAAGCCATCTCTGTTCATCGCATACTGACTGCTTGTCAAGCTTGAATACTCTAGAAGCTGTCACCCTCGCCAAAAGTAAAGCTCATATAGAGAATAATGTCGATGATCTTATGAATGAACTGCAAACTTCATTTAATATTACTCGTATGGTCTTCAACAATCATAGAAGTTTCGTCCAATCAAAACTTAATCAAATGACTCAACAGTGTGAACAATTGAGCATCAGCTTGAACAAATCTTAATACATTTTAAGCCAATTACCATAACCTATCAACAGACTCTAATCACCGAAGCTAACCAAACCAACTACTAGACGTTCGTCGACGGATTATCCAGCCACGGAAATATCAAAATGGATAACCCGGCAGCAGTGTTGACGGATGACGTGGAGGATTGGAGTTCCAGGGCGCCATCGACGGGCAGTAATCAGCCCCAGACACAGGTTCGGTTAAGCGGTGGTTCCGACGGCATCTACAGTACCAATATCCCCAATAATTCACCACAAACACAATCACCAACACCCCATCAGAAACAACAATTTCAACAGCCATCCCCACAGCAACATTACAAGCGCAATGCGTCCACCTACTCAATAGACATTCCAGCAACCCTCGGACTGATGGTGACGAACGGCAATCCCGCTGCCAATGGAGGATCAACTACATCGTCTACGTGAGTATTTATTTCACATTTATTGTGTAGAATATTATTATAGCTACATTTAAATAACTTATATACATTTGAAAGTATTATCATAATGTGTTGTAGGTATACGTGATTGTAGCTAAGTTTTGAACTTTGTATAAAATAATAACAATTTATAATTGATAAGCATTTGACTTGGAATAAACGTGCGTTATATATGATTACTAGGGCTCGGATTTATATGTATTTTTATAACCAAAGTATGTACATAAATATGTGCTAAAAAGTTCAAAATATGCATTATCAAATAAAAAAATTAATAATGATTAATAATATAATGAAATGTAAATAATTTGATAAAAAAATTATTCATTTATAATTATCTTGATTGCAATTTATAACAACATTCATCTTTAAATTTTTAAATTCCAAAGATCTCCGATTCTGTAGTAAAATTGCTTTATACCGTATTTGTACGTATAGCACGTCAAAAATACGCCCGGTCGACACCACCGAACTGACGATTTTATACTACACAAGTCGTACTTTATTAAGTATTGGTTTATTTATGATAAGCTTTCAATCACTCAAAACTCTGAAGAAAACACGTAAAAACAGTAAAATTGTGTAAACATGAGAAAAAAAATCAAATAATTGTGAAATATGTAAAAAAATGTAAAAAAAATGTAAAATCAAATATAGCTCATTTTATCGAAAATCTTGTGAAACGAATTTATCACTTCTTGCAGAGTTTAGTTTATAACACCATTGTGAAAAAAGGTATAATTTACATAAAAATCTGAGCCTTAATGATTACATAAATAATACATATATGTAATGTGTTTAAATGTATTGTATACTTTTAACAATATTTACACGATTACACAATATCATCTGCAACTACTGTTTAATAAACCAGTAAAGAGGTACAATTTTTAGGAATAAAATAAAGTGTATTATTAACCAAATATGTGAAATACGTTATATTTACTCATAGATAAATTTTGTTCCTGGATTTTTTAGAAAACTAGAGTAATGCATTATAGATGTGAATAAAATTAGCGATTCAAACTCTAGCGGGCTATCGTTAACATATTCAAATGATCGATATCATCGTCCGAATATTTTGTTCAACAGTAACTCTATAGTCACGTATTCACAATATTCTATGTTACAATGCGTTAGACGTGCGGCTTGCGTTTTTCATTTGTCACAGCCATCTTATTATTATTATATTATTTCATCACGAAAACGTGTATTTTACATGCGTTTAATATGATATTGCATTGTACCGATATATGTATACACTTTTTGTTGATTGCGCGCCGTCACCAAGGCCACATTCGGTCACCTATACAAGTTCCGTCCCCATTCCGTTATTTGTAGGGTGAAAACGATTTCGGGGTTGCGACCGGTTAGGTTGGCGCGAGGGATACAACCACCTGCAATCGCCACTACACCTCCGCTAACTAATCCGCGGTCCGTCCATACTGTGCAGGTTATATCAAGCCAAGCGATCAATATTGTCAATATTTTTCACCCCCCCCCCCTTTTTTGGCACCAAACTCGAATTTCCCATCGTGTATAATATTATGCCAATAAAGGATAATACAGAGGGTATGATATAATAATATTAAAGTTAAACGTGTCCAAAGGGACACTCACGGAACCATTAAAAGTGTCCGTTATAGAAAGGTTTCGAGTCATGCCTATTTTTTTGCCGGTACTTTATTATTTTGTCTTCTAAGATAGGTCTCCGTTAAGACAGTTTTCACTGCATATACATGCGTTGCAAGTAACTCGTACTTTTGTACATCAGTCGCGGATTTCAAGTACTAGGTACCGAAAAACTCGTCCCTCACAAGTCGTAGTACCAATACGTTATCGTGTCCTAGTTAGAATGACCGGCGATAAAATCGACCAAAACTGCGATGAACACGTCCGAGTAGAGTGCATATTATCATAAATCAAAACCGACCGCTGCGTAGATGTGAGCTCGCGTCAATCGACCAACCGGCCACTGCGGCGGACTGCATGCACCGAGCTGCATTTAAGTATCAAGTGCATTCCAATTATTCGAAAAATGCACAGAATAATATAATAGCACACGCGCACACCGGTCGTATATTATAATCCTCGACATTTCTTCTGGCCGCGAAATCATCACGCGAATCACTCGGGCAATGCGACGACGAGATTAATCGCGAATGAATTCTCTCGCGTACTTTCTAATAGGTATATAATATAATATTATTATAATTATTATTATCTCCTCTCGCGGTACCTACGTACATAATTATAATAGTGTATTTTATGCACATACACTAGCTCTATCATCGTATATTCTCTCTCTCCGTCCGCGTTACTCTGCTGCAGCTGATAATGGTATATACTATATTTACACACGAACTAGACAGTGTTAATTTATTATGTAACTTGCACCTGTGTGAGAGGAGTGTGTGTGAGCTGCGCGTTATAATCTCGTAAACACATAATTATTATAGTAATATGTAGGTATAATATTATGGTATATTATATGTTATGTTGTTCACAATAATAATAATATTAGTTTACACCATTATTGGGACCTCACAATTTGCGGGTACCACACAGCTACGTGTGTGTTTTATGGGTATAGGTACCATTTGACAAGTGTACACGACGTTATAGCGATTTCGATTGTAATTACCCGTTTCAGGTTCCGCACGAGAACAGCGGAAACATAATGCGACATGGGTATTATGTTTCTCGCGGAGACATGTGACATTCTTTCTCGCTCCCATGCGCGTTTTTCACACAACTCGCACTAATAATGCATTGCCCACGTAGTGCATATAAAATACCGCCCAGTAACTATGTATATGGTTACAAAACTATTCGTGTGCCTACTCGTGCTCGTATTCTGACGCGTGTGCTGTGCACTACCGTGCTTGTCGAGAATTTATAACTTGGTATAATACGATATTATTATGGTTCGTTCGTTCTGCATCAGCCGCCGTCGTCTTGACTCGACGGTTCACCAACATTCGTGCTCATCGCGTCGATCATGTCCCCATCAGACGATTTTCAGCGCTCAAGGCGCGTACACTACCTATACGTAGGCAAGCGATTTCCGGAAAACCACGATGTTTTTCAGCGATATTTTCTCGACATTGTGCTGGCGAGACATATTTCTGACGCTTCAAGTAGGTACCTATATCTACTGCAGGAAAAGTTTGCTGATATTTTTTTTCATTAATAGTAAACACCGATAATCGTATGCGACATGACACGTAGGTATATACCTACATATTATTATCACATGATGGGAGGTTAGGTATACCCGTAGCCCGTAGGTACTTGCGGTTATAATTACCATCGACGTGCAGTACCTGTCATTATATTATACATTTTAATATATACAATTATATACATTTGGTTAATACATATTATTAGCGCGCGTATAAGACTAGCTAGATGTACGACAACGAATTTGCGGATGATGTGATGTATGCACATGCCGCGTGAGGGCGTACGTGATGAAATAGAATAATAGTAATAGTAATAATAATAATAATAATAATAATAATAATAATAATAATAATAATATAACATTATTGTAATCGAATTGGGTTTTTTTCACGTTCTCCGGGGCCACATCCATCTCTCTCGGTACGACGCCAACATCGTCCTAACTACCATCGTCTTTGTGCGGCGTGCGGTCATTCATTGTTTCGCCGACGTTCATTGTGCTTACACATACCGAATAAAAACGACGTGTTCCGTCTCCGTGTGTGCCAATGCGTATCGTCGCTTTGTACCGCCGTCACCGCTGCAAACAACAACAACAACAACAACATCACCAACAACAACAACAACAACGACTATACTGCCGTTGACAAAAATAACAGTATGAAGCTGACCGAGTATTCGAGCAGCGGAAGCAACAGCAGCAACAGCGGGAGCGTCGGCGATGGAACCGCGACGGCCACATCGTACATCATATCCGGCAGCAACGGCGAAAAGGCCGATGGCAAAGGAATGGTCGGCGGACGACGCCGCAAAGGCAAGAAGCAGCCGCGTTACGACCCGTTCCAGATGCGAGACAAGTCTAAGGCGACCACGTACGTATAATAAATAATATAAGAAAATATTATTCACGTCGAATATTATTGTGCCTGGACTACTGTGGTGCCCACGGTATTGCTGCCGTACCTAGACTAATTTATGTTAGGTGAAACTATTACCGGGTTTTAACTAAATACTCATTGAATAAATAGAGCGAGCTAAAATGTTTCCTTAGACATGATTTAGTGGCCTATGGTTGGTCAGTCAATTTTTTTTTTGAAAAATGTAATTAATTAATTTTTTATATGCAAGACGTGATCGAAAGGAAAGGTTCTCGCGCAGAGTCTAATGCGAGCTTATAACAAGCCTTTTTGTAAGTTGGTGCTTTTGTACGACTTGTACGTATATTATATATTATATAATAGGTATGTATGGCATAATATATAGCACGAACGGCTGCAGCGGCGGCCCGCAAAGGGCTCGCAGACCTTTCGAAATTTCACACGTCTTAGTCGTTACATTCATGTACAGTTTATGTTGTACCTATACAATTTTGAATATTATAATATCTCCTCGCTTACTACATTTCAATTTTCCTGTGTAATCAATAAATTAATTAATATTTTGTTTGTTTTTTTTTCGTTTTAATACACGACATTATATGTACATAATATATAGTGACAGCGGTGCCTTATTGCATCTGATCAAGAGCAGTCTCGGCAGTGGCATCTTAGCCATGCCAAACGCGTTCAAAAACGGTGGGCTCATCTTCGGACTTGTCGGCACTGCAGCCATCGGAGCGCTTTGCACGCATTGCATATACCTATTGGTGAGTCGTACGACAAAAAGAATTTGTTTCACGTATTATCACATTGTTTAATTTTTATTAAATCGTATTTTTTCAAAGTCATCACGTTTCCCCAACTTCTGTTAAACTGTATTTTTATGTAAACGCTTGCACAGTATATAGGAATATAGGTATAAGAATAGGCGAAACTACTCGTCAGACCAGTCGGACCATGGTCTGACCTACTACTGACTGACTGAATAACACACTGACTTAATGAAATTTAAAGTTTAAATTTAAAAAAACGTATTTTGTAATTAGAATTTTTTTCATATTCATCATTTAACCTGCCCTAATAAAATTGCCTAGTTTCTCCTATGGGTATAATCACAACTTAGGTCACCCGAGTCTTCATTTTTCCGAATAGCTATAACATTATAAGTTACAACAAATAGTATCAATATAAATTAATCGAGTTATTAAAAGATATTCTTTCTTCAAAATCTTGTTTTTAATGCATTTTTCTCCCTTGCTATACAATATTATACGAAATTGATATTTAGGAATATGGCAATTAAAAGAAAAAACGTCCAAATTATTAATTAATGCACCTAAATGAGTATAAAAAATAAACCTGAGAAGTCGCACTAATACAGCGTACGATAGGTTTGGACTTTCGAGTGTACTTCATCGTCGAGTGGGTCACTATTTAATTTGTTCAATAAACGATGCAACTGAGGTGGAAGTTCCCACCTCAGTTGCGATACCACACGAAAAAAAAAGGTCAGTAAATTGATTATTTTAATGAATGTGTTAAATTTGAATCCAGCGTTGAACCATTGCAAACGTTAAACAATTCTGAACGAAGGCGATGCGTCAGCCTCTATTTCTAATGATATTTTAGAATTTATTTACATTAGTACGTACCTATATTGTTATTAGAACGGTATTTTTAAGTTTGTAATGTACCTATTACCTAATGTAGGTGTTGAACAATTTTTACCAAAACCATAGCATTCCTATTTTATTATTATAATATTATATCATACATTTTAAATTATTCTTAAAAACCTATACCGACCAATACCAACCTTTCTATCGAACAACAGTGAAATAGGTTCATAATAACATCTTATTGCATATAGAAAAATATTTTTTAAGTCATAGCAGAATGTTTAAATTTTTTACAGTAACATTTTTTTGGAATTACAACAATAATCAACAAAATAATATTTGTAATTTTGACGAATTTTGGTCCACATTTTAAATTAAAAGCTTTTTAAAAAACGTGACTATGTATTTTTGATATTTCTTAAGTTTTGTAAGAAAAACTTAGTAAGAAATTTGTATTAAAATTTTAAGCTTTTTGATTAACAAATAAAAATGTTATATTTTAATAATAAAAGCCGAAAAAGAAACTAAAAATAGTAGAACGTTTGAATTATCTATAAATTGTTCAAAAAATATTATTGATATACTTATATTATTTTAGGTTCGGTTAGGTTACATCAATTAATTGAAATAAAAATGAACTTTGTGCAAAATGTAATATAGCTAAGGCGAGATATTAAATGACGATTCAAATATTTCACTGCGGAGATTGAGATTGCATTCGTTTTCTCGCACGTTCGTTACGTTCCGCCAACAATGCATTTTTGTTGTTTTTGATATTCAAGTAAATTTACATAGAATCATATTTAAATTTAATTTAAAATCATAAAAACACGATAAAATATAGTATTTGACGCTTAAGATTTATCAAAAAACCGACGACTTAACTGTACGGAAAATATGTTATCATCTTTATATTATGTTTGACAGTAGGTAAATTTTCTCTACTAAAAATAAGGCAACCACATATACTGACAGTAATTATGGGAATGCGGAACGCAAATCCAATATAATAATATTATATGTTGAATATATGCGTATAAACGTATATGTGTGAGTATAGTATATAATAATGTTCTGTTAAAATATTTAGAATACAAATAATGGAAATAGAGATAGGAAGATAAAAAAAAATAGTCCGGAAATATTTTGTAAAAAGTTTTGTAAAAAAAAATCACAGCCTTGAGATCTGTTCGTCCAATATATTTTAATGATAATGATATACCTATCTGGTAATTTTCGCCCGCTGCGTATTGTAATTACATTTATCCGACAATATTATTTTATGAATTTATACCTATATGTCCAATAAATAATACCAGCCAAATACAATACATATTATTATAGATCTTTTGCGGTTTAGTAATATTGTGATTGTTACGTTTACATCTCGCAATCACATGCCCAACTAAAGTGACTACTTCACACCTATACTGTGTTTCAGGTGCTCTGTTCGCAAGCGCTAGCCCGCCGCACTCGCCGCCCTGCCCTCGGCTTTGCCGACACCGCCGCAGCCGCTTTCAGCACTGGTCCGCGCCGGTTCCGTGCCTGGGCCCCGTTCGCCAGGTAAGCTATAATATTATTGTGTTTATTTAATTTAGTGGTTTCCGGTTTAGTTATTTTATTATTATTATTATTATTATTATTATAATTATTATTACAGTTTTTATTTATTTTTATTTTTTTGTGTGACCCTCGATTTCGGATTTATGCTCGTAATAGATAAACGCAGCATAGATAATGGTGTATTTGTACATTTTAATGATCTATATCATTACAGCTGCGGTCGCGTGGTTGGAAACCAGTGATTTAATTTTATTAGCGTCCCCACACGCTCTTGTCGGCGGGTGGGCGAAAAACATTAGTATGGTTATGTAAAGCTGGTATATAATAGTATAGAGACCGATCGCTGCAGTCTCCGGGCCGAAACGATATTATAATAATTAATACAGGCTAGTCGCGATGTCAGCTATAATAGGTACATTGTAGTAGTCGACGATGTTTTGTAATGTTGTAATAGGTACCTATAATTACAATAGTTGATTATTAACTTATAAGTAACTTACATATGTGTAGCAATATATTTTTTATCCTTTTTTTAATGTCGAGGGTAATTTTTTTATTGGAACAGTCGTATTTTTTTTTTGGAAAATGTAAATAAAAATATTTAGTACAAATTTTTTTCTTGATTTTTAAAACGTAGGTTACAGAATGATTTACCAAGCATGCTCACTCACTTTTCTTTCAACAATTTTTCAAAATCTAATTTTCCGATATTGTAAATATACCTACTTAAAGACCTTATTTCCAAATTCTTGAGATTTTTCTTATTACTTACTGACCTGTGGAGACAAACGTTTTCTTTTAAATGAGAACAATTTTTTACTACTGCAAATTATTTAACTAATAATTTTTCTGAAAACGTTTAAGAGAAAAAATTTAAGACTGCAGCGATCTGTCACTCTATTATTATATACCTATTCATAAGTTATAACTATATTATATTAATTTAAATAATATTGTCATTTATTAGAAGGTATTGAAAATATTGGTCTCACACATTATATATAGGTATACAAATAAAAAATCAATGGGTATCCTATTAATATTTTATTTGTTTTTATCGAGGCATAGAAGTTTACTTTTTGAGCACATCCAAATCGTAGGGTTCGCTACAGTTTAGGCTCTTAAATTAAATTTAAAAACCATTTACTGTATATAGGCTTTTCGCGTTAAGGTTCAATAAATAGTAATCTTATCATCATATAATATGGGTGAAAAATGTAAGGGTAAGCATAACTATATAATAGAAAAAGTCAAAATGAACAATAGTGACAGATACGCTAACGACTTCCGGCCCATAGCGTGTTGTCGTGGTGTGATTATAGTACGTTTTCGGATTATTTTCTAGGCATATTCTGGATGTTTCGTGTGTGAAGTGTGAAGGTTATTTTTGGTTTGGTTGACAGAGGCTAAATGTACTTTCATCAGTTATAATTTGAGTAGAGAAAAATGTAATAACATAGATTTCGGTAATTCAAAACGTTGTATACTTCACAGCGTGTGTATAATTGTTATTTTGGGTAAACATGTTTGTATGATCCGATCAGACTCACAATTGCTCACAATGGCAATACATATACTTATTGTAGTAATTTAATTTAAACGACCCCGAATTACTGAAGACTAACACTAACAATATGAATTCTGGTAAGTCTTGTCACATACACGCGTTTTTAACGATATTACGCAAATTATATAAATTTGATCGAAATCATCGCTGTCCTTCAGTGCTTACAAAATGCAAAAAAACATATTATTATGTATAAATGTGTAATTACGAGTACATCGTATACTCTTATCCAAGCGAGAAATGAATCATGATTAGTGATTACCTACTAACGTCTAATGATAAATACATGTACTTGTATGCATGAATAAATAAATGGGCTCAAACTTTTTGAACATGCCAAATTATGTTTAAGTAATGGGTATTATTTCATATTAAAAAATGTACACATTTCTAGAAATAATATACAAAAAACAAATCCTAATAGATTATATTGTCAATAGGACTGTTTTAGGGTTTGCGAGGCCTAAGAGTCGGGACTACTAATTTTACTACGAAACAAAAATGTGTCCAATTCATTTTTATCTGTTTATTAATGAAGAGGAACAAAATTAAATTAACCTAAACATGTTTTATTTAATAAAATAGCAATTACGATGAGCTAGATACGTTTATGGAAGTGTATCAACATTTTTTCACATTATTGTGGATGTAATTAGTATTATGTCCAATTAAACGTTGATTTACATTTATTTATTGCCGGTGTCAAGTTTTAGAAGTTTTGAGGCAATATATAATAAAACTTATGTTTTATGTTAAGATGTCTTCATAGCGAATTATTTTCATTTTCGTGTGATTGACGGCCAACATTTCAGGATAAAAGAACATAATGAAAATAAAAGTCATAATTCAATGTAAATAAATAATTGATATATTATGTTAAATACGTAATGTAAGGTTTTACTAATATTAGCGATTATTTTATTTATAGTGGCAGTTATATAGGTATCTAATTATTAAAATGTAGAGATATCAAATTTAATTTTAAGTATAATAAAATAATACCTACATTCTAAACAATTATTTTTTGAGAACATGAAGATGAAGACTGAGAAAAGTTGTCGGTAGACATTTTTGCATTTGTACTTAAAAAGCTGTACAATTAGTTGCTTCAAATTATTCTACTCTAGATTCTTAATAGTTTTTTTTCGAAGATTATTATTTTTACGAGTTTTAAATAATATTCAAGTTCACATTTTTATAATTATTTTTTTTTCATTTTAACAGTAAAATATAATTGCATACTTCTATTTTAAATCTTCATTCTCAGTTGTTTGTTGAATGTAATGATATTACATTATTGTATGGCTATTTATTTTTAAAGTAGGCACATTATTCGAATTTTAAATTTGTGGAACTTTAAAATTCCTTACTAAATGTTTTATTATATAGTTAAATAATATATAACACGAGAGTATTAAACATCCAGAATATAAAGACAAAAGATATTCTGCAGCTTCTGTTAATAAATACCTAAATCTGTATTAAATGTTACAACTCTACCAATATACATTAAAAAATATAACATTTACATCGCTGTATATAAATATATTACTATATCTGTATCGTACAAATTAAAAAAATACCAATGAGAATAAATTTATAATACTTTGATTTTCGTTAAGTCAGGATTTTTTTAGTTGTATTACTCTAAGGGCTTGGTTATATTCGAATAATCACACTAAAAACGATTAAAATATCTTTATTACAAGTATAAAATAAAAATAAATTTTAAATTTTAAATTTTATAACGCAATATAGGTAAACTAGTTCAGATATTTTATATAAATTATTTATGTGCAATGTATAAGTATTTTTTATATTTAAATTAATTATTAAGATATATATTCAATCACTCTCTAATAACTGTCTATTATTTGATTATTGTATAAAATATATGTAGGTAAAAAATTATAATATATTATCAACATAATATTAGTGATTCTATTATTCTAAAAGTTTCCATACTTAATTATAATCATATAATAAATAAATATTTATGCATACGATACACCTACAACCTACTTAAATAAATAAATATACGAACTCTTACACAAACAGTGTCATATGGATGAATACATCATTAATTCTTATGTAAAAACCTACAAAGTTTATAATTCAAATTTACAAGTTAATCTTAGAGTAAACATTAATTTATTACAAGTTTATTATATTTTAATCTATAATTAAATATCATATACCTAGTTAATATATGCGAAATTCATACACATTAAGTTATTTTATTAAAATATTGTCAGACATGGTTGAATTTATTTCAATACATTTTAATTTCGTTATTGATACTAGTTATCACCAAATTTAATACGCATTGGCATTGTTTTTGACGACCTTATAGGATTTGATAAGTATTAGATTTGATCAAAAAAATGATCGCTCTAATTTATGACAATGAAATAGGTAATTAGGTAATTATTTTTTAAATCAATGTCATGAATTTGTTCAATGTCTCGCTCGAGATCTTTACAAGTTACAAGTTTTAAATTATTTGTTTTTCTTATAGTTTAGTTCTAGTTACAACTGACCTATATTGTGTGTACACAAATTGGTAAAATCTCCAAATAACTCATTTTCTTGAAGATCTAGTTAATACATTTTAAATTGAACACAATTGAGTGTTTGGAGATCATTTTAAAATCTGGATTATTCATAACTTTGAATAACATTGCTTAAAAACCGTGAAAAAACTGTAAAATATATACCCTAGGTACTCGTAATTCAAAAATGTATAATGTTAGTGGTTGAATGCATTTATGAAATACTACCTATTTTATTATTAAAATAATATAGAACTAAGATTATGAAACATTTCAACAATTTTCAAGCTTAACACAAACATTTAATAAAGTTTTTCTTCTATAATTATTTGTTTTATCGAGTTTTCCATTTCCATTTTAGTATTAAATATGATAGTAAAACTATAAACTTTTAGTCGAGAAATTAACATAATAAGCAAGGTTATTAATATTATTATATGTTATTCTAATTACAATTAAATCACCTCAGACATATCTAGATAGGTATCTAAGTATATGATTTAAGGAATTTCAAAAATGTAAGAACCATGAGTTTTTCACAATATATACGTATATGTATATAATAATAGTAATATTCCATTTTTGCAAATATTTATTAAAAAAATTAATTTGATTTAATGATTTGGAAAAAAAAATACATAATATATGTACGACGGACGTACATTAAAATATTAAACTGATTATAAAAACTACAGGGTAGATTTTGGTAGTATTTTTTTTGGCCAGGGGACTTGCTATCACCACAACCCCCCCCCCCCTTCTCTTCATAACAAAAATTAGTCTTCATAATAAATAGAATTTAAAAATATGAAAATAATTGTAGTTGAATAAATACATACACTGATGTCATCGGAACATTGTCACCGTTTGAAATACCATCGTTTACTTACGTAATAATTATTTCGTGAATTTCTTATTGGTTTATAGTTATTTTTGATAATAAACAAGGAATGATGTGCAATGTAATAAATGTTAATTCATAATTTATATCATTCAACATTACAAAAGAAGAATATTTTCTAAAATAAAATCATAAAAACGTTAAAAATTATTATCGGAATATGTGCAATCAGGGAGCCAAGAAGAATATTTTTTGAGTACCTACTATTTACTTTAAAATTTTAGATGAGGCGCTACCTCACTTGCCTCACACCCAAAACTCTCATAAAAAAACTAGTATTTATAATCAATGGTAATATAATATACGAATTTGCAGTATAGATAGTGATAAAATATAAACCACGATATGCACGTTCATCGATACCTTCTATGGATTTTCATTACGCTAAACATAATATTATTTCTAAATGTATTTTAATTCCTTAGTCAATACTTATTGCAATAAGTTAGTTCAGTTCTGTTAGTTTATTAACTTCTCAAAATACGTGTCTGTAAGGATAACATAATAATAATATGTTATGTGTATAATTCAGTAATAATGTAATGACATATTATGGATTGCCCATTATGTTTGCACATACTATTCGGTGATTACTGATTAATATTATTAATCTGTAAACATTTTTTATTTTTGTTTTATACCAATATCAGTCAATAACAAAATGTCATAACCTTTTATGAAGATATACTATATCCAAAATATCATGAGGCATGACCTTTTACGAACGATCAAATATAAAATTGCCTTGCAGCATGTACAACGGTATGTCCGTATCAGTCACGTTATAGTCAATGTGTAAATATTACGTATAGATTGTGTATATTCTATAATTGGTATAGGTAGCAATAGTTTATAGTATATATTTCCGCCTGCCGGATACAATGATACTGTCGTCATTAGGAAATCGGGTCTTGGCAGAGGCGTACGTCTTGATAATAAACCACAGAAGAATAAGTATAGGTATTAAAAGAAAGTTGAGTTTGACGAAATGTCTGCACCATAATATGTATAGATGCAATTAATGCCGAACTATAAGTAAATGATAAAATAAATAATATAATACCTCCTTGCTGTAAACGTGAGTTGATAATTTATAAATAGTCGATTGCAACTTAAACATTAACTGAAATAGTATAAGATCGGAAAAAAAATGTATGCAAACAATCAGAATCACTGTAGCTTTGAAAGTTTTATCATATTATTTTTACATGAAGTGCAAATTATTTATTCGCAAATTCCAAACACGGTTTTCTCGTAAAGTATATGTTGTGGGTTATACTTATAACATATATTATACAAACATCATAGGTACACTAATGTTGCACACTCTCGAAATGTACACATGGTGGCAGAATGTAAATATTATTATGCGTTAACTATGTAATATAACCTAGTATACTTCAATATTCGTCCAAACTTCCAGAATTAATATGCTATAGATCTAATAACTATGATTAAAGCGTTTTCACCTATACCTACTGAGCATAATATATCATATAGGTACTACCTTTTATCTATATAGAGTATTACGCAGTATTTTTATAACATTTTTAGATATTCAAGAGTACAATGTACTTATGTAGGTATACTTATTTTATAATTAAAACACAATTCTCTTCATTTTGTAGATAGAGAAAGAGAGAGCTATTCACGGATAATTAAATGTTAGGTTCTATAATATTAAGATGTTACTTAACACGTTTTTCTCGAGCATAATACTATAGTTGGTAATTTTTAAAATATTTTTCAATAATAATTGTTAAGAGGTGTTTTTGCTTTTACGCCAACAAATGCAATTACAATTAATATCACAATATAGTATACTCCGAAGAAATCCTGGTTTTCTTTAATATTGTGGTTGTTGAATAAAATATTATTACATGGCACATTGGCGCAGGCATCAAATATTAAAACTGATTTTCTAATGTATTTTTTCCTTTTTGTTTACATTTTGACGCACCCCGTTCAACATGACAAATTGCAAACTATTTATTTGAACTGAACACGCAGAGAGTTTGTCAACGCCGCCTTGTTCTGCACGTATTATTTTGGTAACACCGTATACGTAGTGCTCGTCGCCGCTTCCTTCAAGCAGGTAATATTATAGGGAGACAAATACGCATAACACACACAGACACACCCACAAATAGGCCCTAGGACCTAAGGGTGTTTGTAATACATTTATTAAAGAGAGTGTTTAATTCCCCGAATCATAACGTATATTATTACTGAAAGATGCAAAAGTTAAATGGGGATATCCATAGTACACATATTATTATGGTATTTATTTTACTGGAATATCAAATTATATTGACGTTCACTTCATAATAATATTAATATCAAGACCATAATTAATTAATATTTTTTTCATTAGATATTTTATTCGTTGTGCAATTTACCGAGAATGTCATAGTGAAACGCATTTACATGCCTATTATAAAGGCTATAAAAATCATCTGTTTATATTCTGGTCAATGGATTATTTTTTTCAATCAATACTATAGGTTCACTGTGAATATTTTTTAAATTGAAAATAATTTTGCACCTTTTTGCATAGTCGTCTGTATTATTGTTGTGCACACATGCGTGCCCATAATGTATACAGCCTCACAGTACATAAACACGGCACGTGCCATATAATATTTACGAGTTTATCGATAAATGTTTCTACGCGATACACTCTGTACACACGTGCAACGCAATGTCATCTAAGAAAAAATTTAATGTTCATTACAATGTGGTTTTTTCGTCTTCCCACAGGTGGCCGACACGCACACACCGCCGGAATGGCACATGCCAGTCCGCGCCTGGATCCTCGGCCTGGCCATTCCGCTGGTGCCGCTAGGCATCGTCCGTTCGCTCCGTCTGCTGGTCCCGTTCTCGGCCATAGCCACAGCGTTCATCTTGGTCGGCTTGGGTTGCACCATGTCGTGGGTGGTGACAGGCGTCAGCCTGTTCGCCGACGAGAGTGCCCTGACGGCGGCCGTACCGCTGCCGGACATCGGGTCCCGCCCGTGGATCGCTCCCGTAGGCCACATGCCCCTGTTCTTCGCCACCGTCCTGTTCGCCATGGAGGGCATCGGCACCGTGAGTACATCTACCCGGGTTCGAGTGCATACAGTTTAATACCGCTATGATATTATTGACTATCAAACTATACCCACTCATAACAAACAGTCGAATATAATAATTAATAAATATTATATGTAAAGTTCACATTCGGCATCCTCTTTGTGCAATGTATAGAGGAAAATTTGAATGCGTTTCGTAGTTAAGTACAGCGTGTAGAACTCGTGATGTACTATTAATCAAAATATTAAAATGAAATACCCTTTTATTCTGAGTTCGTATATAAATACTTTCACTGTTACCTTTATAATATGCCATAATGATGAGAAATCAAATTCACCTTTCGATACGAAACCGACTGTATGGTTTGTATTTTTATCAACCAAAACATTAATAGAAACTCATCGTTCGGTGAATAAATGCATTCTATCATCGCGTAAAACCACAATCGTATACAATTTTTGTAAATGGCCTACACGCAACACGACTTTTACAGGTACTCCCGATCGAAAACTCGATGCGCCATCCTCAGAGGTTCCTCAAGGCTCGTCCTTGCGGAGTTCTGAACGCCGCCATGGTTCTGGTCGTGTGTTTGTACTCGGTCGCCGGATTCCTCGGATATTTGCGTTTCGGTGACGCCACTGACGGATCGATTACGCTCAATCTGCCCAACGATCTGTGAGTATGAATGCGATTGCAGCGCTTAAACACCATAATATAAATTATAAATGTGCGGCACTTGGTTGAAAAAAAATATATACACTATATGCGTTTATATATATATATATTTTATAGGTACTAGTTACCTATATGCAACACTAATTAAATACATAATGGCTTGAAAGGTAATAAACAGTATGCGTAAACTTATATCAAAGCTGTAAATAAATATGAATATTATGAAGAAAAAAAATGATGTTTCTGAAGAACTATTTATTCTGCAAAATTAACTTTAATACTATACCTACCTATACTTTTACTTTTACCTATTCACTCGTCACAGCGGGTAAAGCTTTTGCCGACTTAATGTAAAAAGTCATAGATTTTCGTCTATATTGTATAACCAAAGAAAATTGATATTTTTTAAGATATATTTCAATATCTACATATCAACACTTGGATACTGATTTATCTTGAAAATAAACAGTTTTTTCAGAGCTCAATAAAGTTTTTTTTATGCTTTTAAAAACTCGTCCAGAGGATTTATTTATTTAAACTTTTGTCTTACGTCCGTTTTATTATTACATTTAGTTAATATAATAATATATAGTTTGAGTTAGATTCTCGTATAGTCGTATGAAATATACATCATTACTAGCTGTATAATACATTTCTCACTGTACATATATATTATCTTACTATCAACGCTCAATCATCAGGCAAAAATTGGTTTTACTTTTAATAGTTAATGTTAGGATTTACTACTCGTTCTCAGTAAAAGTCGAAAATCATAATTTTGCTAACCTTGGATGTTTAGGTAAATTGTGTTAGTTAAAGCTGATAGAAAACTAAAACAGAAATTATACAAATGTATTTTAACAAACATGGTATGGTTAATTTAAACATAGGTATAACTTTAATTATTGGTATTTTATATATTATGTAATATTGCAAATTGTTATTGTTTTTTTTTTGTAAATTTGGCTTAGGATGACAATTCAACATTTTTCAAAAATTATATTATTATTTTTCTGCCGTTATTAATCAGATTTTACTAAGACAATTTGTACATTCTAGGATGTACAAAAACTTTTATAGAAAAAGGCCAAATAAAATTATGTTTTTCAGCTTGTACTGGTACAAATAGTATGTTATTCCTAAAATTAACTAGTTAAATATTGCTTTACCTAGTGATCAGGCACTTTGACAAAAAACATAATATCGTAGTATGTATATATACATTAGACGTAGGTATATTATTATACATTATATAAAGTCTCAGTAATTCGCTGGAATTATGAGAGCCCTATTATTCCTGTACAAAGGTTAATAATAATATAATATATATGTCCAAAAATGTAGCTCCCATTATTATAGTTTCGGCACGAGTAGTACATGCGACTCAAAAGCCGAAAAAAAATTAAAATAAAGTCAACCGAAAATGTTAAATAACTGGTGTCGGATGCGTTAACGCCATTTCAAATTTCTACAATATAGAGAAATAGAGTAATATTCAGATAAACTGATATCATACTACCCTCGTATAATAAAATATATCGAATGACTGAAACTACTGTATCTTTATTATGAAATGTATATTAAGCTATTGCATAGCTCTTATCGTAGGCGTTGCGCGGTGACTGAAAAATATTTTTCGTAACGAAAAAGTGTGACCGTAAGTCATACGATCTTATTGCTATTATTATTTTTTTCTATTCGGTTCGGCGCTTAAAAAGTATAACTTGAATTCAATAGCTTTACCGTGGCAGTCCCCGAAGGCCTCAGATTTTTTATTATATTTACCAGTCTTACAAAAAAAACTTTTAACATTGTATTTAAGAACAATATAAATAATTGACATGCATTTTTTTTTTTTTAATCTTATGTATTTAATTTTCATACTAAATAAAGTAATATAATCACTATCAAATAACAGTTTGAAATATTGTAAATAATTCTCTTGAATTTTTAAAAGTATTCGCTTACAATTATTTGATTTTTAAATACAAATAAATCCTAGATAGAATTAAAAATACATTTCAAACACTTCATTTAAAAAGTGTTTAATAAGCATTTTAAATACTACAAAAGTAATTAAAGACATTTACTCAATACTTTACAATAAGTACTGTTATCTGTGGTAAGATGATGGCAGCAATTATTGATAACACGCGTATTATAGTTAGGTACTTAACTTTATTTAACTTTTGGGGAACCCAGTTTTAAGTTTGATATCAAAATTTTCTAGAAGCCTTAAAATAATGTTAATAAATATTTGTCTAACATAAAATTATTAACACGATATCGCTTTGAATGTTTAAAAAGATCAAAAATAAGTGACGTAATATTGACTTTAGACGTTCAGCCATGAATGCGTACCTATATAGCAGTTGTTGATATTAAGCTATTATGGGTGTGAATTGCACCTATAAAAATTATAAATCTGTAGTATGATGATATTATGAACTCAACTCTTTTCATTTTCCTGAAATATTAGTTTCTTTATCGCCCAGAAAAGCTGCTGGGCGGCAGAGGATCATCATCGTTTTTCTCACCGTTAAAATAATATTATGTTATAGCCAAAAAACTGGTGTTTAGTGAAATTAGGAGAGACACATCCATATAATATTTAATATTATTCAATATAGTAGGTACTGTAGCACAGTGACTTATCTCAAATTTAACGTTCAATTTTCCACTCAATAACGACACATATTTATTTATTGAATAATATTGAATTCAAAAATGTTGTTTGAAACTATTGGGATGTAAAACTCTATTGAGGATTAATTTGAAATTTAATACTGAAGTTTATCAATTTGTTGTATGGTTCCGATCGAGCAAAGTTCGTTCTTAAAAATATCTACATTTTCTTAAATCTTGTATCAAGATATATTATTATGTTGCAGGTTTGCAGAGTCGGTGAAAATCATGGTGGCGCTGTCCATACTGTTCTCGTACGGTCTGCAGTTCTGCGTGCCCAGCGAGATAGTGTGGACCCGCCTGGAGCCGTGGCTGCGCAAGCGTCGCCAAAACGGCAAGTACTCCGCGGACAGCAAGACGTCCTGCGGCGCGGCCGTGAACACCATCGCCGGCAGCACCATGTCTACGGCCACAGCGGTCACCACGACCAGCGCCAAGTCCGTGAACGAGAAAAAGCAGCTCGAACTCGAGGACCTGCAGGACAAACCCATGGAAGGAGCTTACTACGTGATGAGAGCCTCCATGATCCTGGGAACCGGTAAGATGTTATTTTATTATTATTGCGACTGTAGGAGGTGGGTATTTAAATGCATTTTCCGACGTGATGTCGTTATGTCTGGACGATTAGGTCCACAAAAAAAGTAATGATATAAGTCGAAAAATTAAAAAAAAAAAAAAACTATTCAATAACATTTTTATTTTGTGCCTACCTACCGAAAAATTGTTCTTCTGATCGTAATATAATATGTAGGTATACTTGCATAATATTTCGATCAAATATTAATTATTAAACACTTACGAACTAATGAAGTTATGCGTGCTACCTGCAGCGGTGTACTGCAACTGCAGTTTTACATTTTGCATTTCGCTAGGTACAAATACATTTTTCCAGCACATAATAATACTATATTAATACAATCGTTAAATAACGTTTTAATATTACAATTATATAATTTTATGTTCGCAGTATTTATCGCCGCCCTGGTGCCCGACTTGGCGCCGTTCATCTCGCTCATCGGCGCGGTGTTCTTCTCAATACTGGGCCTGATGTGTCCGGCCGTCATCCATCTGGCCGCGTTCTGGAACCACGGCGACGAGGACGGCGAGGACACGGACGACGCGACCGACTCGGAGGACGACTTGGACTTTGACGGCGACTACTACGCGGTGGACGACGACACGGACTTGGAGGCGGTGCAGCGACAGCCGCAGCGGAGGAGAAGCAGTGGCCGGTCGACGCGACGCCACCGTAAGGGCATGAGCCGTTGGACCGTGGCCAAGGACGTGGCCATCGTGTTGATCGCGCTCATCGCGCTGGTGTCCGGCACGTACGCGTCGCTCGTGGACATCGTGGCGTTCTACGGGTCCGGCGGCGAGGGCGGCCATCACGCGGCCACCGGAAACGGCACCGCCGTCGCTTCCGGCACCACCACCATCGGCCCGGGACCGGAATCGGCGTTCCTGATAGCGGCCAACGCGGGACAGCAATAGAGCGGAGGACAGATTGGAGGACGGGAAAACAAAACGATATACAATGAGATAATAATATTATAATATACACCAACCACTGCACCAAAGGCTGTCGTCATCGTCGCCCGCCCCCGCCCGCCCGGCATGGCTATAATGGTTACCTATACCTTTACTTTGATCACTGTTGTGATACGCACCTCTCCTATTTTATTTTTTTTTATTTTTCAATCACCTGTGCGCCTTTTTGTCCGAATCATTAATTCATCGTCGAAAACATTCCCCCCCCCCTCCCAATGTATACTTATATAGACCTCCCTACATTTTTGATATAATATTTTTTAAACTGTCGTCTGTCGATGTGATTATATATTTTGGTAATGACATCGACACCGCCGCCCATGTATATTATTATCTTATTATTGCCGTATTGCCTTTTGTTTTTAAAATTTTTATTTTTATTTATTAACTACCCATGTGTATGATATAATATATATATTATAATTCCAGTATATTATAATTATTGTTACTTGATAAGTTAGTGTGTAGTTCTATGCGAGCGCAAACATTTTTTTCCACGTTGTTTTTCGCTTTTAAGCTTCCCTATATATAATATTATTTATTACAATAATTATTATAATCATGACAATTTCATTATGATTTACATTTATCGTTAGTACATTAGTTTTAATATTAAGATTTTTTTTTAACGTTGTTGGGTTTAATATAACAAACGCGTGAAAGTTCACGAGAACATATTTAAATATTTTGTAATCATATAACATACAATTAATATAGTACATTAGTATACATTATTATTAAAATTCAAAATATTACTACTTTTGATATTCGCACGTTATAATTTATTATTTATTTCACTGTTGATTCTTAAGAACGCTTAATATATACAACAGAAAATCATAAAAGACATTTTGTATGGTACTCATGATTATTATATTCTATACGAATAATCATAATATCTAATATTATAAAATATGTATAGCTGTCAATTAAAAAAAATTTGTTTATTATTATTATATCATTTATTATCACAATGATCGTTGAGTATATTTGTATTCTTGTTCTAATTATTATCATTATACGTTCTCTCGCTACCGTAATCTTACCATTATTATGACATTATATAATTATATAAATTAAACCATAATATACAGTCATCACACGGTTATTATATACATAATTGTGTGATTAAGTACATCGTACATCCATATATAATATATATATATAATAAAATATAAAGTATATAATACATATTATCGCCTAGTCAGCCGTCCTCGCCGTTACGGTCATCGCGTAAATCATAATAGTATGCCCATTTGTAGTTGTTGTATACGCAGTATATCAAATAAATATTATAAATTATTGTAAAAAACCGATGGCTATGAAACAGTAATGATGTCGCATTATCATTTCTCTCTCGCAGACGCGCGTTTTGTGTTCTCCAACGTGACGACGACGACTTTGTGCCGACGACTGTAGAATATTAGTTATATAGTTATAGGTATCTTATTATTCCTATATTAGGTATATTGGTATCTGGTATATGCATGAATTAAAACTCACAATATTGCTCAACAACATCACAACGTGCACACACGCACATGCACGCACACACACATTCGCAAATCGTCGTGTCCGCGGTAAACGCATAATATTCTGTATTAATTTATTTAAATATGTTACAATAATATTTATAACGACAACAAGCGACAACTATACTATAATACAGTTGCAGCAGACGCTGTTGCAGTGTATATTATATTAATATGATATTGTTACGACATGATATTATATTTTGTCGCAACCTGTATAGGCAGTAACATGCCTCGCGTGTTGCATAAACGCTCACGGAATAGTGACACAGTGTAATAATAATATATTAATAATAATTATAACACTAAATATGCTTAGGTACATTGTCGCTACAGTCGTATACACGCGGAAACGTCACCGCCCAAGCTTATCCTCATCGTGTGTTGACGTGTTGATATTGTATACATTGCATTAGTATAAATGCATAATATTTTAATAGCCCTCCGATTTTGGAGCAAATTGATGCGCTCTCTCGGCAGCCATATAATAACTGTATTGTCCACGAATGCGTCGTTCAGATGTCAACGAAGCGAGCTTTATTTTGATTTTTTCAATGAATGTGAAAATTTGTCTTTTTAAAATAATTACGTTTTTGCCTTATTTTTGCATAATATTCGCTTAAAATTGTTGTTAAACGTTTATTTAGATCAAGAGAAAATTGGAAAATACATTTTTTAAGACAAGACACACGATCACACGTAATATGTTACGTTTACACGAAACGCGATCTCATAACACCAGTTGACGTAGAAAAAATTACATTATGTATTTTCTTGCTGTGGACAACTATCTTCTCGTATTATTTCGGCTTAAATTGAATTAGTGGTTTTTTTTTATCGGCTGCAAATATACTTGTTTGACCCAATAGTTACTATGATATTATATTGCTGCGAGCTCGACGTCGATCATGTCATTATTTTAATTTTCGCCTTCTAAACGACCACGCCGAAACAGGGGCCGGTAAACAATAATGACATTACAATATGCGCTGGTCGTTTCATTATGGTAGCTGTTTTACGGTTCACGGACTAGGCAAACATCGATCAGTAACGTCGATTTAATCTCATTTAAGTGTGGTGAAACAGAGCGCCGTCCCGATGCACGCGCCGCAAAACCGAAGACAAGCTGTATAAAAGCAATACATTCAATGTATACCGTCGTCGGTTAGGTCAGCGCCGTGTCCGCCGATGTTCGGCAATTTCCGCTCAGAAACACTGACGCACGCAATAACAGTGCAATTAATATACCACCCAGTGTCTCCATGTTATATTATGTACCCGTCACTGCGACTCTATCCGACAGATTGTCGTGATTTAGGTGGGTACACACAATATAATATAATGTACGGAGTGACGGATTTCCGATTTCGGCACACGATCGTTTCGGACGTTTACCTACCTCACTGTGTTTTCGTACTTGCCTACACGGTTTATTGTCGGACACAATACGTAGAAGGGCTTACTCACATATCAGATTGGTAACGTAGTATATTGTCTATAATATATTAGTTTTGCTGATTTGTTCGGTCTTCGATGTGCGCATTATGTTGCTACGGCCATGGGCTACCTATATAATCATTAAAAACAAAAGAAAATTGTGTTTAAGACAACTGATCGAATGGCGAGCTAGAAAGTAATCAAAGCGCAATAATATACTCAAGTAATGTGTAAACCTGCACAATACGAAATAAACAATTTTAAAAGTTCTTTTCATGTGGGTGTTGGTTTTGCAAAGGTGAGTTTGTTTTTATTGGCACCGCTTTTAATGGTACCTCAAAATGCTTTAATTTTTAACTTTGAAGGTGGTTGCTGGAGGAATATTGGATTTACTTTTTTTTTGAGGCGGTATTGGTATCAAAAATAAGGACCTCCCTGTACTTAAGGTAAGTTGGGAAAGTGGGTTACTCTGCTGTAAGGTACGGTAGGTGTCGAGTGGATCACTGTAATGGATATTATTTATTTTACTGCAATGCATTTTTATAGTTAAGGCTTGACAATTAAATACATGGTTCCTGATAATCAGTTTTCACTGAAATCTTAATATTAAAAATAAATCAAGTAAGTACAGATTTTTTTTACAGACATTTAACGAAATTATATATTTAGAAACTATGGATGACGATTTTAGTTATATTGTGGTCGTTCAAAAATGTTAACTAGAAACTGTTACATATTAATATTTTATTTTATTATAAACAAAAACATTTCCAATATATTTAGATTAATATTAAGTTATTGCTTATGTATACAACGGACCACCCATTCAGTCTTATTCACACCTTTTTACTGTAAGTCAGCATTGACTCAAAAGTGTTAATAAATAACATGGATGATAGATCGAAGATACTATTATAATAATTATAATTTAATAATAGCGATGTTTTTGCAAAAATTAATTCAATCTACGGTATCAATTATACTAAAATAAAATAATAATATATAATATATTACTGTTTATATTATTAAACACACAATCAGAACCGTTTTTCACGACATTTATACCGAGGGCTTCAAAAGAGTACGATACAATTCTTTTTTCCAGCCTGTATAACTGTTATAGCTCATAATTACAATTTTTTATGAACAATAGTATATTACAAGATTGCTATTCTTCTTAGTTAATTAGTCATGTACCGATTGGTAAAATCATAACTTGTTAGTTGAATCTAATATATATATATATTTACAGCACAACTTGAATTTAGTAAAATTTGATTATGATAAATAGTAATACCGTTATCTTGTGCAGGATGTATGCCAATGCGACATAGTATATATGTATGGACCGAGCGTCCGAGCATGTAAGGTGGTAAACGAATACTGATGAGCTGATCAGTCTCCTAATAACCGATGGTTCTTATTTATTTCCGTTTTGAGATCAGAAACTACTAGAAAATCTTTAGTTAGATCAGGGAACTTGGTAAATTTACATCACTTGGACGAATTAGGTGGAGAGGGTTGAGTGGGCCACATGGCCGCCTTGGCTAAGAGGAAAGATACCACTATGAACATCAAACGGTGGGCCCATTAAAGTGGGTGGATATTTTATGTGGGCTGGGAAACTGTAGATGAAAATAAGAAATAATTGAATGTTGTTGCACATCAATAAATGGTGTCTGTGCATTGGGCTGTAGATAGATATGTGATTTTCTGAAATCGTTGTAAAATGTTCTCATTTGTGCCATTTACCTACATCTTATTATACCTACCTATATTTATAAAATTATGATCATCAAAGTTAAGAAATCACATAAATGTACTTCAATTTATATTTTGAAATCGTATAGCAATTAACAACATTACAATACTTGTGAATGGAAGGAAAGTTATGTATTAGTAAATCAACAAAATATATTTAATATTTATGTGCGTTTAGGTAAAGTAATTTTTTTGACGATTTCAATTGAATTTAAAAATTAATTGTATGCTCTAAATAAATACAGTTCATAAATGGTATATGTATAGATTGTTTAGGTATGTTAATGAATAATGAGTCAATATCTATGAACGATTTATTAATTATATAATATATTTGTTTAATTAATTACAGTTGGTAACTTTTAATTTCAAAACAATTTTTAAGGCTATAATCAATTCTTTAATTAAATTGTACAATAAATACAATAAACACATTATAATATTTTAAATTGAACAAAGTTGTATTTAATCTAGATATGTACTTGCGTCAGTTTAATTATTGTATATGTTATTCATTATAATTATTAAGAATAAAAATATTGTAGTACCTAATTAGTCATATATTAGTTGTATATAAAATAAGTAGGTATAATGGTATAATAATTTAAAAAGAAAAAACTTATTTGTTTTTTCCATTATAGCTAACAGGTACGAATGCAGATAAGATAACGTTAAAACAAAATATAATGATCGACATGGTACTTTCTGTCAAAAATTATTAGTTGAAAATACAAAAATTAAATCTACTACCTATCTTATAAAAAAAAACTTATGAATTATGACGTAAGTGATAAAAGCCGTTCGTATATTAATAAACACGGGTTAAGCTTTCACGTTACAACAATTTCGACATAAATTACACGCAGCATTATATCTAAGCAGACTATATACACCTTCCCGCAGAATGTATTTTACAATCACACAATTAATATATTACTTTGAGATGCTGGGAACTTCATTGAAATAACAAATACAATACAATTAAATACACAATGAAAATGTGTCAAGATGATAAATAATTGTCCAAGTCAATACAAGTCAAATGCCAAAGTCAATAACCATAATATTATATTACCTATTAACAATTATATGCAACTATTAATTAACATTACGTATTACATGATTTAAACGTGCTTCTATAAAGTCACATGATTATAATTTTATCATTATTGGTATTTGATGTTACAATTTTTATTAAATATACATGAGCTATGACAGCTGTC